AGCATATACATACTTCTGCATTATGTGCAAATCTGCACAATATTTAAAACGATGCTGTGTTAAATTCTGAGTGAAAAATTCTGCCAACTACAAAAAAGTACCACATATTAACAGTCAGCATTTTTGAACTACATAAGCAGAAATAAACCCACGGAAATTTATTCTAAAGTAACAAACTTAAAGCAATGGGCCTGATTCTGTTCTTATTTACACAAGCTTTACACCAATGTAACTTAAATAGATTTCAACAGTTACTCTAAAATCAGGCCCATAATGTTGAAATTCCTCAATGTACTGTGAATTCTTTTTCTACTGCATAAAATATTTCAGCTAAACAACATTTTGGGGGTACCTTTATATTATGATTAGAAGCAAACACTGGCTCTGAATCAAAATATTCAAATCTAACAATGCATTAGTAAAACTGAGCCAAAACAGAGATGCTGCTGCAGATGGAATAAAATCTGCTACCAGAGGACAACTGGTTGTTTGAAGTATTTCTCTTGTTTAGTCACACGTTGAGTCTTCCCAGCTTACAACATTTGGGAGGCAATGTGGTTCAATGTACAGAGGGCAGGTCGAAGAGTCAGGAAAACGGGATTCTACGCATACAGGAAGCTGTTTAACCTTTCTTAGCATTTCAGTTTCCTCATTGCAAAATAGGGACAAGGCTCCTAAATTACTTTGAGCTCTCTAAATGAAAAGTACTTTATGAGTTATGCATATTATTATTGATTGATATTTTGGTATCATATAGTAGAGTGCCAATGTCCAAGCACAGTGCCAAATGCAGATCACGTAGTACTAAAACGTAGCCCTGATCCACCCTCTCTCAGCAACTGCAGTTTAAGAAAACCTGATCAACATAAGGGTTTTATCATTGTTGAACAACAATGATAAACTTTTCTACTTTGCAAGGTAAATACAAATAAAGTACCAGTACTTGGATTTTTAAAAGTTAGACCTTATTTGCATATAAACTAACACTAGGGCCGCTAGCACATTGCCGAGGTGTCTGTGTTGCAAACATTAGGCACCCTAGTTGCAATATATCAACCCATTTTTTTCACGTCTTATATATTTTATGACAACAGTTTTGGCAACAGAAACCAATAATCACTGCCAACAGCCCATATGTCATCTCCTACTGATTACAGCAAGTACACTAAAAGGACGACATTCAGACTTAGAGTAACTTGGCAAATCTAACTCCATTAGAAACAAAGCAGTTGCATCCCTTTGCACCACATGTAAATTTAACTCTAAGCTGTTTAATACGAGACAGAATTCTCTATATCCGTGTTATGCTGCCCTTTGCTTTAAACATTTCTATCACCAGCAGAGTATATACCTGCTTGATTAATTTAAGATGGCAATAGTAAAGTATCTACAGTTAATACTGCACTGTGATTCCATACGCAATTAATACTGTTCATAATTATGTTTGCCTAAAATAGTTATAAGATGTTGTGCACAGTTCTATACACACACACACACACACACACACACACACACACACACACAGGTGAATATGCAATACCCCCTCAATTAGCCAAATGGTGTGAGGGAATGGCACTAAACAAATTCAGTCAAACTAGGTTTTGGATATCTGAAGGAATTTTGAATGTAGTTAATACACTTTAAAGTATACGAGTCTATGGCCATGTCTACACTAGAGACCTTACAGTGGCACTGCTGTAAGATCTCACATGTAGCCGCTTTATGCTGAAGTGAGAGCTCTCCCAGCAACATAATTAAACCACCTCCAATGAGTGGTGGTAGCTACGTCAGCAGGAGAAACTCTCCCGCTGATGTAGCACTGTGCACACTAGCACTTATGCCGGCAAAACTTACGCCGGCAAAACCCAAGTGACATAAGTTTTGCCGGCATAAGTGCTAGTGTGCTAGATATAAGTGGTAGTGTAGACATGGCATATGTCAGGACTATAGCAGGGAGTTTTGGATAACTGGTTTCAGTTAATCAAGCATGTACATAAAACAACCTATTCTGTGCTTGGCATTTGGAATCAATTCACAGTAACCAACTACCGCCATCAATTCTACCCAAATGAAAAAAAACAGTTGCATGGTTAGTAGTAACGATTCATGATACAGCAGTGTCTAAAGAACAGACAGAATTTAAGATTAAACTACAAGTGTAACAGCTCTGAAGTGACTCTGCTACTGTTACTGAACACTCTCTGTAGAAGTTGTAAACCCCATTCTTCATGAAAACAGGCAGGATTACACACTGGATAATTTGTTCCTACTCTGATGATGATATCATGTTAAGTTTACGGCTTCTAATAACTAGCAAATTTCAGTCATTCACTTCAGTCTCTCACTTTCTCCAGCATAAGATTAAATCAGCCTCTCAATGACCTACTCATGAGTCATAATCCTCACTGTTTACGATTGAGAAAAATGGTCTTCTCTGTCAGTATTTCCCAGACTGCTGTGGGTTCATTCCAAGAACCAATTTCATCTTCATTGGTTTCCTACAGGAAACCAGACCAACTTCCTATTATTTTATTTTCCTTACTTTCAGCATGGCTCACATAAAATTAACTGGAAGGGAGTGTGATAGAAAACTTTATTCTACATAAACACAAGCCAACATAACCACCACCAAAAAACACTGTAGACGTCATTGATTCAAAGTGACCAGAATGTAAAAGTAAGCTAAGATTAGAACTTTTTCTCTGAAAGCACCACACACACACAAAAGTGGTTAATTTACATAGGCTATGATTAAAGCAAGCTTTGCTTAAATCATGTGCTGATGAGGATGTTCACCAGTTTGCAAAAGCTTATTATGAAGAAACAGGTACTTTCCCAACTCAGTTAGTGTCAGCAGCTGTCTTAGAACGTTTGGCATTGCTAAACCAGTTCTAAATCATCTTGATAATACCAAAATATTATTTTTAGAACTTAAAAAGCTAACATACTTCAATTTAATTTTTATATCTATGATCAGACCAGTCATTAGTTGCTGTCTTTAGGCACGATTTGCTTTTGCTGGCTTAGACACAAGAGTTTGAAAGCAATTATGTACCCACTCCCACTCTTGGCCTTAGAAGACGAAGGAGGCAGAAGGTGCATGTGGCTGATTTACCATTGTTTTCTAATCACAATTTGCTACCAAGTAGTTAAGAGTAGTCTATGGATCCTAATTTATAAGACAGAACTGAAGTAGCAAATGCAAATGAGGATTCCCCATGGTAAATGAAACTATATGTGTTTAAAGAGAATTCTGTGATTACAATAAAGTGCAGTTTTATTTCTGTTTTGTTGATGTAAAGTTACATGCACGTTAGGCAGCTGCCCACTCCATTAACAACAGAAAATTCACCTTGTTACTCGCATCACTTTCCTGAACTCACAGCAGATTGGTATTTCAAGGTAAAATTACTGATTTGTCTCTAGCTGTAAGTTCAACCCTTTGACACAGTTTTAAAATTTTCCATTTCCCCTTCAGAAAAAGTATATGGCACTCTCTCTCCATTTACATGTCACATTCTTTCAGAGGACACGGTCTACCTCAAACCTGGCACAGGCAGAACTGGTAGTGATACATTCTTATACAGATGCTTGGAGAATTATAAAAAAGTGGAGATGTTTCTTTTCATGAATACACAAATTGCAAATGAATGAAGATCAATCCGACAGTGTACAAAACTAATTTGAAGCATTCTCTGCTAAGTAGGGTGCCAGAAGCTCGCATTATTTCTACTTCAAGAATAAACCGATTTTAATAAAAGAAGCTGTGAAAATGGTGGCTATTGTATTGTGGTTCTGTTACAGCCAATGTTCTGTCAATTAACACCTGAAGATCAGTAGTGTATCCAGGAGAAAAGAAAAAGAAAAAGAAGTGCATCAATGAGAGAAAAGGTTAAATTCTTCTTTGGAGAAAAATCACCAGGGCCAGCAATAACCTTAAAATGCTCATTTCTGGGTAATCTTTTCCATATTAGTAAAGGATTAAATGAGGTTAATTTCTTTCACTCAGAAAAAGACTTTCTGTAGGTACTATACAGGACACTGTAAATGTTTTATTATGGCATTCACTATAAATTTAACAGACTAGTAGCAACAACAGATGCAACTCATATACACTAAAACAGTGGTTTTCAAACTTTCTGTATTGGTGACCCCTTTCACACAGCAAGCCTCTGAGTGTGACACCCCTTATAAATTAAAAATGGGGGGGGGATAATTTAATTTAATGGGGACTCAGGGCTGTCAGCCCCACAGAGCTGACAGTTTACGATCCCCAGGTAACCACCTTGGGACCCCTGAGGGGTCACAACCCCCAGTTTGAGAACCCCTGCACTAAAAGTTACAAATACCTGGGAAATAAAAATTTATACAAATAAAATAACAAAGGGCTACTCCAAAGCATTCCAAAACAGACACCAGCAGGATCAAAGGGCAGACTACTGGTGGACAGAGAAGGAGGAGCAAGTCAAAGACTGCTAGTTAGAGGCTTGGGGTGAGGAATATTATGGAACTAAATATTTCACCCCAAAGGCTTCTGATCAGAATTGAGACCAGCACTCAGATATTTGGAATGTTTTAGTCAGGTTCGTACACGTCATCACATATATCAGCTAAAAATAAAATATTACTTTAAAACAATGTTTTGGTTCAGACACAAACCAACAGTAAGCTAGTCTTCTATTAGGGTTTCTTTTCAGGACATTTTGAACCCAATGTTATTTCAAATGGTAGAGACACTAAGCCTCAAAAATTGGGGATAATCTTGCAATGCCAATTTAACCTCATACTACCACTTGAGGTTTAATTTTACATTCAGTACGGAAACTGGGACAGTATTCAGCACCAAGTTAGTAGTATTTGCTAGGATTTAAAGCAGTGCTCACATGTTATAACTAGTAATTGTTGAAATGCTGTAGGGGCTGTGGACTAAAATTATGAATAGAGATACAGTGCACACATTCACTAACCATTCAAAATTCTCAATGATAAAATTTACTTACTTTGACATGGCTCTGAGCTCCCAAGTTGTAAATTTCAGTGGGCTTCACTTCATTAATTATCTTCACCAGGCAAGTACTGTCTGTGAGATCACCATAGTGCAGCTTCATGTCTTCAGATTTCAAGAATATACAGTTAGACTAATAAAAGTAATATACTCAATACTCAAAACAATACGTGTCCTTAGTCAAGGTCCTATTTAAAAATGCATACACTATTCAGGTAAGAAATTAAAAGAAAAATTGTCTAGATAATAATCATTATTTTAAAAAATATAATCTTCCTTACCAGAGTTGTAAGCACCACCTTAAATTAAATTGACAACATTTACGTTACTTGCTTAATCTGTTGCACTTCATTCAACAAGGATATTTAAACTCAACTGGGCAGCTTCACTTATGCTCACCCATCAGCACAAAACTGTTTAGTCTGGGCTTCCAAAACATACGGGGAACATTTAACAATACTTTTTACTGATTTGTTTTTAAATCAAAATTGTCACATTCAGATTTTAGCCGTGACCATTAAAACGTCAGTGACTAAGATTTTCAAAAGCAACTAGTGAATTTGGATTCTTGTTTTGAATGCCCAGCTCATGACATCTTTGAGGGGGCCTGTTCTTCATGGAGAGTGTACCATAGCTTTGTGAAAAATCAGGCCTCTATTACTGACAGCCAATTCAAATCATTAATAACTTTTGAAAATCTTGGATAGAATTTGTCTTCTGTTAACAAGCCTAAGTAACTAAACCTTTTGCCTGTATTTATAACAGGAAATAAGTGCAGTATATCACATACCACTGTCTGGTAACTATTGGTGAGTATCTTTTTTAAATGCTGACTGCAGTAGATTTTCAACAAAGTCTAAATGTGAAGGCTAAATTACTTGACCATATCCCTTGAAAAGATTTACATTTTTATGCCTTCTTTCCAAAGTATCTTCTTATTACTACTTTTGCAGTTACCAAATGCTTGTATAGTATTCTGCACCTTCAAAATATTTGTATAAAAAGTTAACTACATTAATTCAGTTCCTCACACCTCCCCCAGTGAAGGTGGGGAACCTGGGGCTGAGAAATTAAGGGATTTCACCAAGACCATAAAGCTAAAGTCAAGCTGTGATTAGAATTCAAGGGTTCCTGTACCAAGTACCAACTACTCAACTCAGGCCACTAGAGCACACTACTCTCTCGGCTATTTATGACAATTATTTTTTCACCTATCCCCAGAAATTTCATACACATCCCAGCATTATGTAGATCTACAATTGTATAATCACAGTGTCTTCTTGGAATGCAATTAAAGAGGAGTACCATATGCCCTCTACTGATGTCTATCCTTCACTCTGCATGGGTACTTGTGACAATGTCTTATGCCAGGGTAAGAACAGAACAAAACACACTAACTTTGTCACCCTTTACTAATTTGTATGAAGGATATAGGTCATAAATATTCTGCTAAATTCTGTTCATGGTCAGCTGACAAGAAAGCCAGTCAAAGCCATCCATAACTGACAGCTCTTTATTTGATAGTTTTTCAAAGGCTTGGCTTCTACTATTATTCTTTGAAAACATAATACATAAAATAGTCTAATGTTCAATGGTAGCTATGGCCAATTTCCCCTCTACAATATATTTCACAGTGACAACTAGCAATAAATATACAATAGAGTCACACAGAGTCAGTGTTTTTGTTTTGTTTTTAATGAAAAAAACAATGTAGTACAAGATTTTGTGATCAAGTCAGTTTGCTTTCTTGTGTATTAAGCAGCTAAAGATGATTCTCAAACACCTGCAAAGAAGGAATGCTAACATCACTAAACTTTTCATAGGCTGAAAGTGTAGATGATAATACAGTAAGACTCAGCACTGCTGACCTGAAAGCATTAGGCTCTAAAAATGAAGTACCACTAAGGAAAGAGTAAAGAAAAGAAAAGAAAAAGAAAAGAAAAACTTCGTAACAGGCAATGCAACATGTTTTATGACATTACTGACAAAATCTCAACTGTGGTTAGATATATTGGTCATGCAGCTGTTATTTATTCTTTCCTGATTTGGTTAGTTTCTAACTGATACGTGAAAAAGGAGGTATCAGCATGAGCCAACTCCTGTCAAAACGAAGACACCATGTAACTTATCAACTTTGTCCTTGTCCTCAAACTACATTTGAGAATTTATCTCAAAATGCAATTTATTCATCATGGTAAATATGTTTTAACATTTCTAGTATCAAAAATAGCGTACATGAATAGCTTATGCAGTACCTCCATTTTTAAAGAAAACCATTTTGTTAAAAATAATCACTGACTGATTTGTTGTTTTTAATCTGCTAAAGCAAGACACTGGACATTGCATTAACATAGATTATTTGCTGATGCTTTTGGTTTCCAGAGTGTGTTAAAGGGGACTGGAAACTGAATGGCTCCATTCCTTTGCTTCTGAGAGGTCACACAGGAGACTAGTGGGAGATCCTTTAGTTAAGATGAATAATCTCTCATGTTAGGTCCCACAGGGATCTAATTTTGTCATTCCTCCTGTTCAATGCGAGTATGAGACTGCTATGGGAGATAGTGAGATAGTATTGGGTGCAGGATCTTCAGTATGTGGACAACACTCAAACTGTGTGTCTGTGACTTTAGAATCAACCAGTCAGATAAGAGACTCAAAGTCTAGCCAAGGGTTCTCTAAATGAGAACTAGTTGGCTGAGATTCAGGCAGACAAGGAGATGATTCTTTTGGATTCAGAGCAGCAACCAGAAGAAATTACTCCTGGGGAAATTCTGCACCACTGTGCGTGCACAGAATTACTGCCCCCGCAGATTTTTTGCTTCCCGGGAGAAAAATGACTGACGGGGAAGCAAAGGGAGCGGTCACACACCCCTCCTCAGAAGTGCAGCCGCATTATTTCAGGCACCCGGAGCAGCCAGCGGAGAGGTAAATCACTTTGATGGGGTGGGGTAGGATGAGGCTGGGGACACCCTGGCCAGTGGCTCCTACCTTGCACCAGGCTCAGCTGCTAGTCCCTGCTGGGCTGGGCTGGGCGCGCACTTCCTCTTCCCCTGCACAGAGCGGCCAGGGCGGGTCAGATCCACCCTCAGAAACCTCCCATGGCTCCGCACCCCTTTTCCTGTCCCCATCACTCCTCAGCTGCAGGGGGAGGGATCACTGTGCAGGGAGCTGCTCCCCCGTCCCCAAAAGCCCCATGCATCCAGGCCCTCCAACACCCCTGCTGAGCCTCACCCCCCCCCATACTCAAACTCCCCACCAAGCCCCCCCATACCTGATCCTCCACCCTGCTGAGCCCCACCCCCCCTGCACCTGGACCATCCCAATGAGCCCCCTACATCCTCATCCCACTGAGCCCAAACCAGCGACACCCAGACCCCCCCCCTCCCCATGAGCCACATCCCCCATCCCACTGTGCCCAAACAAGCAACCCCCCAGACCCACCACTGAGCCCACCTTCTTCTGGACCCCCTTTGTAGAGTCCCCCTGCAGAGTCCCCTTCACCCAGAACCCTCCCCAACGAGCCCCTGTGCATCCAGATCTCCCCCGCACCTAGACTGCTCCACACAAACCTCTCACCCCACACCTAGATCCTGCCAGGCTGAGCCTGCCTACCCAAAACTGGTGTGCCTGGCACGGAGGGACAGGGCCCTAGGTGTTTCTGGGTCAGGCCCAGCCCTTGCACTGTGTCAGGGTTGGGTGCAGCCTCACCACGGAGTTTGTGTCCCGGGCGTGGGTGGGGGCCTTGAGGGTGATCTCCCTTCTCTGTGTAGCCAGTGGCCTGTGCTCCCCATTGCCAAGCTGGAGCCTTCATATTTATTTATTTGCAAATAAAATTTGCAGAATTTTAAAATATTGTGCACTGATTTCCCCCCCCCCCTCCACAGAATTTCCTCAGGAGTAAGAAATGCAGAGATTACATGAGTTTCTTCCATGGAAGTTGGGTCACCACTGTTTATTAATGAGGTTTGCAAGTGAGGTGGGTATGAAGCGGGAGCATAATGGTTGATCAGTAGCTGCCCCTGAGGTTCCAGATACTAGAGGTGGTTATAAGGTTGCACTTTTTTCTCTCTTTTTTGCATTTGGTAAGAAGGTTTTTCCATATGCAGACCTTACGACACTTATCCATGCCTTGGGTCACCTGCATCACTGTAATATAGTCTACATAAGCTATGTCTGAAGACTACTCAGAAATTTCAGCTATTGGAGAATGCAATGGTCTGCTTACTGAGTGGAATTCCATACAGGAAGTGTAAATCTCACAGTAGTTTAGATCCAGACTACCTTCATGACCACCTCATTCCTCTTTACAATAGGGCAGCAATGTATTCAGCTATCACTTCAAAGGTTTTTTCTCTCTCCTGCTGATGATAGCTCATCTCAATTGATTGGCCTCTTACAGTTGGTATGGCTACTCCCACCTTTTCATGTTCTCTGTATGGATAGATATCTTCTTCCTGTGTGTTCCATTCTATGCATCCGATGAAGTGGGCTGGAGCCCACGAAAGCTTATGCTCAAATAAATTTGTTAGTCTCTAAGGTGCCACAAATACTCCTGTTCTTTTAGCGGATACAGACTAACACGGCTGCTACTCTGAAACCTGTCAGTTTACATTGTGATCCATGGCATTTTAAAAACTGTAGTAGACCGATCTCTAATACTGTCTTGGCTGGAAACTAATTTATTTTATTGCTCTTCAGATGATCTTTTGCTATAGCACCTAGATGATTATTTTCAAATTTAAAATACAAATGACAAGCCTTCCATAATGGGTAGCTTTGACCACCACGGGTCTTCTTTCAAATTTTAAAAGATAAAACCAAGCAAAAATCAAACCAAATAAAAATACATCTTACATTACATTCTGAGGCTTGATAGACTTGGGCTCTGTTAAACCATCCAAGGGAGCAAATTTCAAAGACAAAGGCCCTCAAATGAAAAAGTTCTCCTGCCAGATGTGATGGATCTGATTGTGATCTCATTTACCTTAGTGTAAACCATGACTAGCTAGTGCTAATGTTAAATGCCTAACAAAGGTGGGGAAGTTTGTTGTGAGGTCTACATTAGAGAGAAATGGTTTCATTTTTCTCACCGAACATAGGTGATAAAGAATACTATAAGACTATAGCAATCTGAAAATCCAGGAGCAATGACGGGGTAGCACCCTTCCAAGACTGACGCAGTGTGGCAAAAAAATGGTGATATAACTTCAATAAGTGACACATAAGTAGGTCCACACATTTATTTCTCTAAATGCTCAGCAAAAATTGCCATTGTCAGCAAGTACTGCTTCGGTCTTTGTGATGATTTGGGGAATCTGTCTTTGTATAGCTTAAGAACTCTGTGTGATTCTGGGGGTTCTTCATGTGCATCTGTATTAGACTGAAAGTGGGGCTTGCTGCCTTCTCTGGTGTCCTTCTACCTCCATGTTAGACAAATTCCACGGGATGGCAACACAGGGCAAATAAGGGGTCATTATACCCTGATGGTGCTCTATTCAAATAGAAGTATCCTTGGACAAAGAGTTGGCTGCTACCCGGAAGAACCAGTTTGGCCAGAGGAGCTGGTAATTAAGGTCTGGTCTATGCTTAAAACATTGGTCAACATAGCTTTGGCCTTCAGTGGTGTGAAAAATCCACACCCCTGAGCACCATATCTATGTGACCTAACCTATAGTGTAGACGCAACTAAGTCAACAGAAGAATGCTTCCATTAACCCAGTTACCGTCATTTGGGGAAATGGAGTTCCTGCACTGACAAAAAAAACCTTCCGACGGTAGTCTGCATCTACACTATGGGTACCATAGCTATGCTGCTGTAGCACCCTACAGTGTAGACATGCAATGGATCACCTGGCGAAGGTGAAACAGAGGATCACCTGACAAAAGGGACTGGAGGTTATAAAACAGAAGGTCTCGGTCACCATTCTGAGGAAAGAGCAGAAGTACAGGAAACTGGGCAGAAGAGCAGAAGGGTCAGAGGGATAAGAGCATCCATGATTAAGAAGAGAAGTCATGTGCAAGAGGGGGAACCTGGACTGCTTCAAGGACTCAGCTCTAAGCCCAATGAACTCTCCAAAGTGGTGATGAAAAGGAGGGAGGGGAATGCATACAGGTATGTTTATTACTTTGTCTAAATTGTATATTTCTTATGCTAAGTAAATAGTTATTGTGTCTAGAGTCCTGTGAAAAGTGTATGTTTCTGTTTGCTTTTGCTATGGTATACTCCTGAAGCGTTAACTGTAAAGCCAGAATACCCTCAAGGTGGAGCTTGGGGAAAGGGTTTACTTATGCTATGGAGGAGCCTGAGGGTCAGAAATGGACACAAGGGCTAAGCAGTTGGACTGGGGTGGGGGGGGAGAGTCTCAGTTCTCAGAAAGGGTTGCTAGACAGAGGACTGGCACCAAGAGAGTATGCCTACAGACCCCAGGCAGGAGCGATGCCTGGACTCAGTTAAGATCCTGGAGGTTTAAAGCACATGGATTCAGTGAAGTAGCCCCAAAACCACTACAGTCTGGTACATGTCCAGCAAGGAGGAGCCCTAACAGCATGTGTTATCTGTGTGTGTGTTATTTATGTTGAGTCACAGATAACTGGCTTTCATCCAGACCCCTATTTTTGTCATGAGACACTGGAATCCAGATTTGAGCCTCACCAATATATGGATAATACATCTTAAAACATCTCACTCTTCCTTAACAGCTTCAAATAGTCATTAAAAAGGAGGATCGAAAAAGTGAAAGAGCACAATCCATGTGCAGCAAGCTTTTTTGGACCAGACCTGTGCCTATTCTCATAGTCAAAAGAATCTACCCCAATGCACCAACTGCAATTCTCTTACACAGTAGATCAAGGTTTAATGGAGTAACTTGGAAGAACTCTTCACATTTTACTATATTTTTATCTGCTACTATGACCAAGCTATGGTGTAGCTGGGGCTTGTTGGCTTGCTTTAAAAAACACACACACACCTTAAAAGCAATGAGAAAGTAAAACTATTTCAGTGCTAGAGCAATATTCCATACAAAGTTGCATATAAGATGATCCTCCATTTTATGTAACTTTAAAAGATAATTACCCTCAAAACTTGTTTTACTTCAGTGCTGCTTCACATTTCCAGCCTCCTAAAGCTCTCTCAACCTCACGCAGCTTTTTGTAGGTCTAGCCATGCACTTATAGCTTTATTGATCATCTTGGTGTAAGAAAACTGCATCATCAAAATTTGTACTGAGTACAAGATGCTTCCCCATTCCCCTCTCAATGAATTACTTTAAATATTTTTGCATAGTTTTTCCAGCCAATTCATAAGTATAAAATTTTATATCAAATTGGATCTGAAACCTGCTTTCATTTCTTACTGAGATAGAGCTTCTGATTGAAAGACAAACAAGAGGAATGGCTGGCTGATGAACAACAAACTTTACAACAGATCCCACATCTCCACTGGGAAGAGACAACTTTACAGTGATTATAGGCTGGTATGCTTTAAATAAAGATAATTTGTACATTGATAGGAGAAGATATACTATAAACCAATTTACTGCATGAAGAAATGTAGAATGAGAAATAACTACAGACAAAACCTTACTTCCTTCAGTGTGAGCCTGTCGATTCTTGTAGAGATGCTCAATCCGGCCAGTGTTGAAAGAACTAGATCGGCGAACTATGCCATGCACCTGTAGTTTAAATGGGAATAGGAAGATTGAAAAAGGAATGGAGTTTCTGTGATACCTGGTTATATAATTTAAAACAGCTCTTTTAGAACTTTTTTCCCCACAAAAAATGCTGGAATTAACCACCTATCTGGTAAAATGATCGGATACTATTAGCAAACTTTTATTTGGATTTTTTTCACACAAATAATTGGCTAATTAAGAGAAATTGTAAAATAGCTTTAGCTCGGTCCACCATTCACCCCATCCCTATCCAAAACACACAAACGGAAAATCTTGTATCAGGTACCATTGACCGGCATCTCTCTTCATTCCTAAATCGAATACAGAAATCATGTAGCAGCATAAATTTGTCAGTGTCTTAGCACAAAGTACTTTGTGTTGAGCTCTTTGATGCTGCCTCATTTGGTCCGATATCCTAAATGTTTCATATCCTCTCCTGTTAATTCCAGTGCACATCACAATAGCATTGTGCAGATGTTTGATAACCACTTTTAATTACTCAAGAGCATCGGTGTGTTGAAAGTGCAGAAACAGACAGACAGAACAGGACCTTGTTCCAAACTCCTGACTCAGTGTTCTCAGGTAGGAGATGAGAAAACTGGGAAGCTTAGACTTAAAGAAAGGTAACTTCACTGAACTGGCCATGATAAATATGTCTGAAAAAACTGATTAGCTGTAACAAGAATACATGCCTGCCTGACAAAGCCTGTTTGTGTCCAACACACTAGAGAAATGTAAAGCTAGCCTCCTCATTGCTGCCAAGGTTTGTGTCAGTTTAGGTCACCAAGTGCTCCTTGCTCAAGTGGAAGCTTCAACTTTAACACCTGACTTTTTCCAGATATTTCTGAAGTTTTCCCATCACAATTTGATTCAACTTGCTTGCTTGCATTGAGCTATCTCCCGTCCCCCACAGATTAATTTGTGGCCAAGAGCATTCAACAACCTGGACACAACTTCTGGATGGCGACGGCTGGTTATACATGCAAAAGTCTCATATTTTGTTCTGTCTAAAGTATGCAAAAATTGACTAAACGATACACCCTAAGAACTGGACTGTATAATCTAGCTAAACAACTAACTTTCAGAGTTTTAAAATGATTTAATCTACCTAAATTCACAAGCTAATTTTTGAAAGCAGACCCTAACATTGTAACCATATATTGTCACATTTAAAGTTTTTTCATGCCCAAAGACACTGATCTGCATGTGCAAACTACATTTGCCATACAACTTACCTAATTTGCCTACACAATGTCATTTGTGCTCTAATTTTTTTTTTTTTTTAGTATTAAAAATCTGATATGGAAATATGGTGCTTACAGTTTTAAAGGCCAGATTGAAGGCCTCTGAAAATCTGACCCTTAAGGTTTATTGTTTCCATTATATCACACATTCTGTACTACTATAAAGAAAATGTTCCAAGAATGTTCTAAGAATCCACATTCTGCTGTGTTCTTTGCAGAACTTGTTTGAAGAAGTTATTTTTGTAAAAACAGTATGATTTTAGTAAAATGCATAAAAAATACACAGGCATAATGACATTAAGATCTTGTTTTTACAAGGTTGCACAAAATGCCAGAAACTTTGTATTTACTTACTGTGACAGACCCAGAGCAATGGGGTACAGGAGTCTAGTACAGGGCAAATATACTGGTCACTGGATGAGTAGTTTTCTGTTCCCTGAGTGCCCAGAGCAGGGGCTGCACTAGAGTAATCAGTAACCTGCTAGAACCAGTTTAGGCAGGCAGGCTAATCAGGACACCTGGAGCCAATTAAGAAGAAGCTGCTAGAATCAATTCAGGCAGGCTAATCAGGGCACCTGGGTTTTAAAAGGAGCTCACTTCAGTTTGCGGTGCGAGTTTGAGGAGCTGAGAGTGAGAGGGTGTGTTGCTTGAGGACTGCGGCGCACAAGCGTTATCAGACACCAGAAGGAAGGTCCTGAGAATAGGGAAGGTGTTTGGAGGAGGCCATGGGGAAGTAGCCCAGGGAGTTGTAGCTGTCATGCAGCTGTTACAGGAGGCACTATAGACAGCTGCAGTCCACTGGGCGCTGGGCTGGAACCCGGAGTAGAGGGCGGGCGGGCCTGGGTTCCTCCCAAACCTCCCAATTGACCTGTACTGTGGGTTCTTCCAGAGGGGAAGGCCTCTGGGCTGTTCCCCAACCCACATGGTGAATCTCTGAGGCAAGAAAATCCGCCAATAAGCGCAGGACCCACCAAGATAGAGGAGAAACTTTGTCACATTACTCAAAATGTTTTGTTTACAGGCACATCAACAACCTTTGCATTCTACCAGCAGAAAGCTTTTCAATTTTTTTTTTAAAGTAAATTGAAGTACTCTACAATTATTTCTAGAAAACAAAATATTCTGACTTCAAGTCCTGATTAATATTGTTATATCTTGATTATCTGAATTAAGCTACTCTGAAGTTCAAGTTTACATAGACCGTAGTTAAGCACTGCCAGCTCAAAGCTTGAGGAAAGACTGTATTTGCAGAAGTTTTATGTGGCAGCTGAATGGCTATATTGCCAACAGCTGACCATTGAGATGTGTTAAGTGCAAACATCACAGAACTTGATTAAATTCCAACAAATAAACGAGTGTCTTGCATCCAATGATAAATACAAACCCCACTTTTATCTTTTTCCCCTCCTCTCCCCTTTTTTGTATGTGTACACGAGAGAGAGAAAACCTGCCAAATGCTTAATCCATGACAGCAAATATTAGTGTAAGAACTGATGAAACGTGTTTCTGTCTGCTTGTGAGACAGGTGAAATGCAAACTTTGTGACAAAGCCAAAATGTGTGCAAACTGGATTATCTAGTTAAGAATGAAGTTTAGTGGATTTCTCTCAATAGGGACTGTATTTTTTTTTTAAATAAGCTCAAATTTAAAAAAGTGTTGTGGCTGATTTTATTGTTAGACTGAAAGACTTTTATAAATAACAATTTACTCAGCTTTATTGTTAAGATTTCATGTCTTTAGGTAAAGCACATTCACTTTCCATTTTACTGAAAAGGAATATAATTTTTTCTGAAAGAAGTTTGTTCTACAGAAATCCCCAATCAGAAGGTACTATAAATGCACATGTAAACTGGTTGAAGTAACCTTTGGTAACAGAATTTAAAAATACCTAGTTGAACTTGATAGGATATACAGTAGTATGATTTTTGTAAAGGAAAATGTATTTAATTAGAATTCTTTGAATATTTCAACAAAATAAAGAGGAATGGGCTGGCATGTGTTATTTGAACTTTCGAAAAGTCTTCAGCAAAGTTCCTCACATTAAGGAAATAAGTAGTGTCAGAGCAAGAGGTGATATGGTTTAGAAACTAGCTAATGGACAAATAAAAATAAATGAATATAAAAGTGGGAATAAGTGGTCACCTTCCAAATCATGGCAAAAGGATTGTGACCTAAGATTCTTCACTAGGACTGGGGGTATTAAATCAATTCTCTGGTAAAAGAAAGGAGCAGTGATATGAATTTTTTTGCCGATTATGTGAAATTATTTAAATTAGTCAATATTACAGAAGACTGAGGAATTTCTGAGGGACCTAACAAAGATAGGATGAATGGGCATCAAAGCAGGAGAAATTGTGTGCTGAGAATGCAAGGTAACACACACTGGAAGGAATTATCTGACCCATGCTTGTCCATTACTGGATTCTTAATTAACTGCAACCATCATAGAAGAGAGCTGACAATCATTGCTGAAAGCTGTTAAAAAAAACCTCTCAAAGTATAGCAACAGTCAAAAAGCAAACAAAATGCATATGGAATAAGTCAGGAAGTAATACTGGGACTAGTATAATTCTGTTATATAAATCAATGTTGAATGATCACCTGGGATATTGCATTCAGTTCTGGTTACTATCTCAAAAAGGATATACCATAAATAGAAAGGGCTCGGAGGCAAAAACAATTAGAGGCCTGAAAAGTCTGGAAAGAGAATGAAGCTAGTTAGTTGAGAGGGCATGCTACAAATCACTAATCTGAGCTGAATCTTATGTTCCTAATTAATTACAATAGATAACAATATTTAGCTTGTAAGATCCTTGGGACAGGAATTGTCATCATTTATATTTTGTACAATACTGTGTATATTAATCGTTCTTACAAAATAATTATTAGTCTCTAATGATGAGAGACAGTACAGAGGCTAAATCTCTATAATTACATGAAAACAAAATGAATACAAAACAAAGCAACAGTTTGTAACAAACCACCAGTCATCCCCCACTGGAACTGAAATTCCTAATTACCAATACAGATTAGTGATTTCATACAAGACAATACTAAGATTCCCTACTTGGAAGCCTAGCACCATTTCTTATACAGGGATTTGATGAAGTTACATTAAACGAACATGGACAGTCAAGTTGCTGTCTGCTCACACCAACTTCATCTCCCTGTATCTGATGTACATAAAAAATGGTTACCTACCTCTCATAACTTGTTCTTCAAGACGTGTTGCTCATGTCCATTCCATGTCAGGTGTGTGTGCTCACCACATGCACGAGTGCCGGAAGTTTTGCCCCCAGTGGTATCCATAGGGCCGACTCTAGTGCCCTCTGGAGTCGTGCGCATATGCGCCGGTACAAGGGGCACTGCCAGCCACCACCACCACTTCAGTTCCTTCTTGCTGCAACTCTGACAGAGGGGAAGGAGGGCAGGTAATGGAATGGACATGAGCAACACAACTCAAAAAACAACAGTTACGAGAGGTAACTTCTTGCTCATGTCCATTCCATATCACAAGCAGTGCCTCTGGAGGCGGGCAGAAGTTCATGGACGTGTCTATTTTAACACTGCTCTGCCAAAGCCAGCATTTTCTCAGGCCTGCTGGGCGATGACATAGTGGGTCGCGAAGGTATGGACAGACGCCCACGTTGCGGCCCTGTAAATGTCCTGGATCGGAACGTGTGTCAGAAAAACTGATGATGATGCCTGCGCTCTCGTTGAATGAGCTGTCACTAACGGCGGAGGTGTAGCCTTTGCCTGCTCATAGCAGGAACGGATGCAGGCGGTGATCCAGAATAAAATTCTCTGAGACGACACCAGGAGACCCTACATACTGTCAGCCACTGCAATTAAAAGTTGAATAGACTTGCGGATGGGCTTGGTTCGCTCAAGGTAGAAAGCCAGGGCACATCTGACATCCAAATTATGCAGACGCCACTCCTTGTTGGAATTGTGCAACTTTGGGAAGAAGACTGGCAGGAAAATGTCCTGATTGACATGGTATTGTGAAAGCAGCTTTGGCAGGAACTTGTCCTTGTAGAACCCCGTATACGGGGATTTGGAGGTTAGAGCCTTAATCTCGCCAAAGTGATGGCTACAAGGAAGATGATCTTCCATGACACATGCAGGAGAGAGCAGAAAGCCAGAGGCTCGAAGGGAGGACCAGTGAGTGTAGACAGAACTAGGTTGAGGGCCCACTGGGGAATCAGATCATGGACCTGCGAGAAGAGCCTTTCCAGGCCCTTAAGAAATCGGATCATCATTGCATGCGAGAAAACTGATCTGCCCTGGATGTGAGGATGGAAGGCTGAAATGGCTGCCAGGTGTACCTTGATAGATGAGAATGCCAGCCCTTGGTGCTTTAGATGCATTCCAAGTATTCCAGGATGGATTGTAAAGATGACTGAGAAACAACCACTGGTATAACCACTTGCCAAGGCAAGAGGATGTTCCAGCACCGTCATTGGTGGTAAGAAGGAACTGAAGAGGGCAGTGGTGGCGCCCCTTATACCGGCGCATATGTGCACGACTCCAGAGGGCGCTAGAGCCAGCCCCCTACGGATACCACTGGGGGAAAAACTTCCAGCACCAGTGCATGCGGCAAGCGCACACACCTGACACAGAACAACATGATCAAGTACTCAAACAAGAATTACATTAATCTGAATGGAGAGAATAGGGTACAAGGCTAGAAACAATGCAGCAAGCAAGCACCACTCCAAAAACAGGCGTGCATACAAAAAATGGCATACTTAAATCAGTGTTGAGAACATTAGCTGATCTCAGACAATTCTAACTTTTACAAGCCTATGTGTGAGATCCCTATCGGTATTTTTGAAAAGCACTGGTACAATGCTAAAGCATTATCTACCAGCATCTCCCATAGAAACATGCATTTGGTTTTATTTTCTATGTACTGAAGCAAAGGGCACCCCCCATGCATTACACTCCTATCCTTGAAGCCCTGCATCTCTGCTAATATCCCCTTCACAGACAGTAATTGGATGGAACCCCCTTTACACCCTACCTATGACTATTTCTTAATTGGGCAAAGTGATCGCAGTTGAGACATTCCAGTTACTTCCTGCCATAAAGGAGCAGAGAGCACAAGCTTGCACAGCATTCTAAGCTTTTGACAACAGACTGGCACCAGGAACCATACCTAGGTGTCCCACATGGCCATATATGGCACTGCCATTAAGGCCAAGATCCAACAAAGCACTTCAGCATTTGCATAACTAAGTATACAAGTAATCAATCCTATTGACGTCAATGTCACTATTCACGTGTTGAAAGGTATGCACGTGCCGAGTGCTTATTAGATCCTGAATCAGTAACGCATATGTTTTTAAAGGACTTTATACTGTAATTAAGAATGCTACCATCCTTAATCTCAGCTCATGCTATTGTACTTCTCCCCACCCTTCCAATTTCAACAACATGAACTAAGATTGGAACATCAAACAAAGTAAATTTCCCTATTCATGTGCCTGAAGGGAACTCATTTCCATTACAACCAAATATCAGCTTGTTTATCTGTCTGAATGTGTATGATGTGACACTGTTTTTGACACCATAGGTCAGGTGACATCAACTATTATCCAAATAGTTATAATAAATGTTAGAAAGTTTAAAACTATAGATATAGCATGCCAAATTTTAGCCAATGATCGAATATTAACAATTGCCATTTACATGGTATGTTGCAGTTTCAAATCCCCTTATAAATAGTAAGTTAATTTTTCTGACACATTAAAAAATTAGCTTGGCCAGTTTGAAGTTACTGAGGGCCAGAAAGAAAAGATGCATTTTCACCAGCTTTTTAAGACCTACAGGACGATAAAGACTTCAGTCCTACCAGGAGAGATTTCTTCGTCATATGGCATCTCCAACTCTATTTATGCACTACAGGATTTAAAAAAAATAACAAAAAAAAGCCCCTCTCTCTAATTTAATAACATCCCTAGCAAAGACAGCAATAGCATCTTTCAATGGGTGTTTAATACTAGTGTATTTATTAAATTGTGTTGGAAATTAGTTTGTGTTGGTAATCACACTGCAGAATACAGAAAGAGCCATGCCCACAATAGGATGATCAGAACCATGCCACCTACAAGCTTTAGTTTAACAGTTGCTGTGATAAGTATGGCTAGAGATGTTTTCATCCCAGAATGGTGTTATAATACTATCCTATGAACCACCTAGGGAGGCTAGTTTTCAGCACAGATACTGTGGCACTCAAATACTGTGATGAAGTACCTATTCAGATAAGTGAAGGATATTTACTGTCAATGGAAGTTTTTGGAGATGTGTGGCCCCGATCTGTATTCCACATGCAGGTACAAATGAGTGCCACATGCCCAAGTCCAGAAATTCTCTCAAGCAGTACCTATGGGCTCACACATGTGCACCCATGCACACCCTGACCACAAATCCAACAGGATCTGAAGCAAAGGGGATGGAGGGCAGGAAGTGGAATACAGATGGGGACCACACATCTTAAAGAATTTCAAGTCACAGTAAGTAACCTCCATTTTTAAGTGCTTGTCTCTATCTGTATTCCACACATGGGTGATTGACAAGCCAGGCCTTAGACTAGAAGTGGGTGCAAGGAAGCCAGCAACAAAGATGCATGAACTAAGCAGAATAAAAACTATTTACAATTACATTGACAGGTTCTACAAAGAAGCTGAAGGAAGAGGAGACACAGGATTCGGACTCAGGCCAGGCGGTGGTAAGAAGGAAGTGGAGAGTCGTCAGCCATAACCTCAGTCAGGAACACAAGGAGACCTATTGCACATATACAGGCTAACAGGCACTGTTTGTGAGAATTTCTGTACTCAGGCACATAGTGCACATGCGTACCCACATGTGGAATACACATAGGGACCAGCACTCGAAGTTAGAATGGGTCTCACCAAAAACTCTTTCTACACTACTCAGAGAAGTGTGCTAAAAACCTGATGGAAACAGAAACCTGCACAGTTCTGGTACCAGTGTGAACAGGGCCAGAGTGCACGATTTTATCTGTAAGAAGTGTCGGAGGGAATGCTGATGCTGCCAACACTACAAAAGCATAGAGTCCCTTTCTGTTTGGGAAAGGGAAGTGAGCAGAGAAAACAATTACACAGATCTCCTTGTCCCAGAATTTGAATTATTCCTAGCAGATGTTGCTCCAAAAAAGAAGGGACAGAAAGAACTGAGTACTGTGAAAGATGCATAAACACTCAGGACAGGCGAAGAATAACCAAGTTGGTACAAGATGGTAGAATTAAGTAGCAGTGACAAGATGAAATGAAGAAAAAAAATTTAGGATGGATATCAAGAAAAGTTTTCTTATGGTGAGTTCTACTAAGCTGTGCAATAATTTCCAAAGGAAAGTAGTGGAAGCCCAGTCTCTTTAGACACTTAACATTAGACTGAATCAAAAAAGAAAAAGAAAACAATACTGCATTACTAGGGGATGAGCTACCAGTTAATAAAGGTTCTTTTTCTCTCTCTGTTGTACGATTAAGACTATGGGACAGCCTTTCACTACTGAGCAGGCAAACACCTGTGGCTATATAGTCACAACAGTACCAAGTAATTGTGTATTGTAGCATACGGTAAGTCTGTGACCTTTGTATTGCTGATATCAGAAAGAACATTACTGCTGTATAATCCCTGGGATAGGCATGTGACAAAAAGGAAAATAAATATTTAATATCTTTCTTATACTTAAGTCTGTCAAAGTCCAAGTCACTTCACAGCTTACATTAGAGTCCAAACTCAAGGACAAAAGATGCAAAATGACAAGTCTCACGCATTTGGTTGCGTCAAGGTTGGTAAACAAAGGCTCAAATTCATAGCACAGAAGTCATAAATCTGAGAAAGTTAAACAAAACCCTGCACAATACTACACTCCAGTCTAAACCTCCATAAAGAACCCAGAATGCCTATTAGAAAGCAACCTCTAGGTTTAAATTTTCAGTATGAGTCTGCCATGGATTAGCAAGGTTTTTAATGCTTAGTGCAATTTCAAAATTAAAAGTTATTTCATTGTGAGTAGGTTTTTTGTTCTTTTTTTTTAAATGTGGTGCACTACATCATAAATTATTCCCTAATTCTTTTGGCTTGCACAGGTTGCTTCTTATCTAAGTTAGCGGGAAGCATGCAAAGCAGATATACCCAGAGGAGCAGAGAGAATCCACCAGTGGACACTAGATGATAAATAGTACAATAAGCTGGCATGATTACAGGCTATGCTGCACATTCTTTACTAGAGTTTTGATTTGTTATCTAGGGCTGAGTGGAAAACATACGCAAAGGAGGACAGCAGCAAAGGAAGTTAGAGGTTGCTGTATCCAAGTGTTTCCAGCAGCCTGCAGTCGGTCATTGAGTCACTCACCTCATAGCCCTTTTGCAGCAGGAACTCAGCCAAGTACGAGCCATCCTGGGAAAAGAAAGATAGGAAAATGTTAGAAACAGTGACTGGGCCTGGAAGATTTACACTCATTATGGTCTTTAAAATATTTTGAATCTGAATTGACTGGATAAAAGCATATATTTCATTTAAAACAACAATTAAAGGACACCCAATTTTTAAGTTTAACCAGCAGTACAGTTTAAGATAACCCACCAGCAGTAACTTAGAAACTTCTGTCCCTCCTCTCCGTGAAGCCTTCCACCCAACTCCAATTTTTTAATGCCTTGAGGAGAGGGAGGTGTTTTGCTATGTACATCAGATTTGGGCTATTTCAGAGATCAGGAGGAGGAAGAAAATTAAAAAGTGGTGGGACCAGAGAGAATACTGACTGCAGACGCATGTTTTTTACCAATGGACCTCTATCTTAAGCACAACTGATCATTCCATATAATATTAATGATTCCATGTCTGTGACAGAACATGGACTAGGCCTTTTATTTTAATTCTATTTACTTCATTAGTTAGATGTATTTGGAGAAACCAATCATGACCTGTATTCCAATGTACAAACATGAATGTAAAAGCCATATTTGTGGGGTGTGTGTGTGTTTCTGATTTTGCTTTTTTTTGGGAGGGGGGTGTAATAATTTCATCTTGTTCATCATCACTGACAGAATTACCACTAATAGAAATCATTGTATTACACTTACCAATGTATTAAACCTGGCATTATTGCAATAATAGAAAAAGGTCTCCATATACAATATAAAAAGCCACAAGCCACATATAGAAAATTAACTAGACATCCATTCCCTGCAAATTTCCCTTCTTCCTATTTTTTTTCCACATGCATTATTTGTTTAAAGACAACCAATCACACCCCGATCATGCAAAAATGTATGCAGGTACTGAACTTTACATATACAAATTGTTCTACTGAAGTCAATTAACCTACTGTAGTGATTCCATAAAGTACAGTGGGACGTACTCACACACACACACACACACACACACACACACACACACACGTTTTACAATGTCTTCGCAGGGTAAGGTCAAAGACACTATCTACAGTAAAGTGAACACATACATTCATTTAGTTCCATTTTTAAAGACATTTTTAGTCCAGCAAATTGTGCTACTTGATCTTTCATTTAATGACAGCCTGGGGGAGGGTGAAAAATAGTAAAGTAAGCCTTGTTGCTGAATTTGGAACTTGAGATGCACTAGGAGGCTCTAAAATAACAGGGTTGCCAGTAGAGTGTGTTTACTATATTGATGCTGAAGTTGTGCATAAATCCATGCAAAATGACAGGGTGTGGTATACAAGGGACACATTCTGTGGTTCATTTAAAACTCCAGAAGCTTTTCTTATGACTCTGTGACCTAAATATTCTGTTTTATAGACCAGTGTGGAGAGACAGGAAAAAATAAAAAGACTCTTGGCATATACATATTTCTTCTACTACACACAT